CCAAGCAGGGGATTTTGTGACAGGGGAGTCCCCGGGTACTGCAGCTCCATGCAGACACCTGAGGGTCATAGCTCCGGAGGCTGGTGTGGGATGGAGGGAGAAGTTGGTGCAGAGGTTTTGGAAGAATGTCACCTGTTCCTACCTCTGTCACCTATGTGCCCCTGGGTCTTAGCGGGATGCTCACTGCCCCGAGCCCCAGCTTCCTGGTCTATACGCATTTCACAGAGGGCATCACAGGAAGTGCACAATGAGAACAGTAACAGAAAGCCATGGCTGCGTGTGGTTGCGTGTATGAGATCCAGGGCTTGTTGAGGTGCTGGCGGGGCCTCCTGTGCCAGGGTGCCCAGTGCATAGGCCCAGAGTCTCAGTGTCACCAGCAAGGAAGAGCACTAATATTGGCTTGCCCTACCTGAGGCACCATCCCACACCTCTTTATTTTTTAAAAGATGGAACCGGACACTGAGCACTACCAGATATTCCCCTAAGCACTTCACATACACACACACAAAAACCCAGCACTTGAGTGATAGGACTGTTCCTGGTATTGGAGGGACAGGCACAGAGAGGTCAAGTAACTTGCCCAAGGCTACACATCCAGGAGAAGCAAAGGGAGCATCCCCTGGCTTCCTTCCCTTCCCTCTCCTCCCCACCCACTGTCTCCATTCCTATCGCTCTCGGGGCTCTCAAGCATGGTACATGCATAAAGGAAGGAATGAACAGTGGCTGTCTCCCGTGTGCTTCTGATTTCCGGGAAGGTTTGCACAGGCCCAAGGATGGACTGTGAGGAAGGTACCTCAGCTCCACAGATGGCTCCCAAGTGGGAATGAGGTGCTGGGAGCATGTGAACGGCCACAGAAGAGAGACCAAGCATGGGGGTGGAAACACATGCCAAGGGTCAGGTGCCACCAGAAGCCTGAATGGGCAGGCTGACGGATTCTACCCTGGAGCCTACAGCAGAACCACTGCTCGACTAATGTCGTGACTATTTCTTGAAGAGTCATCACTGCTTCTGAAGATTCTGAAGCTTTCCCTTTTGTTGCTCATGTTTTCCTGAGACAAGGTTGCACTATGTAGCCCAGGCTGGCCTCTTGCTCCTCCCATGGTCCTTTGCTGTGCAGACTACAGCAGCCTGATGCAGGGTGGATGGAAGACACACAACCCGCCAGTGGCTCCCACTGGCTCCTCTAACAAACCTGTCACCAGAAGGTCCTGCTGGCTCCTCCAGCACTGGCCTCCTTTAGCCAACCCCTCTCCCTTCTTCACTGCCCCGGACACAGTGTCCTGGTGTGAAGTGACTAGTGACACTCTCCCTGCAACACCGCCAGCAGCTAGATGACAGAGCCCACTAGTTCTCTCACCTAATCTCCTTGCACCTAGCGCGATATCCCAGAATCCGGGGCACACGCTACAGTGAAGCATTCTTTCACCTCAAGTCCTTTGAGAGGCTGCCAGTTCTGCTTCCACACGTCCCTCTTAGGGACTGCATGGGGACGAGTTCAGCAGAAGAGCATACCTAGCTCAGCACCACTGTCTTCCCATGTGTTTTTAATGAGCATTTGAAGGAACAATTTCTCCAACAAGTTGAAAGGAATTTGCCTTGCCTCAGTGCCAAGTGAATGTTCAGAAGGGCCTGTGGTTCTTGGTTCCCATCCATTCACTGAACTGTAACAGAAAGAATCAGCACTGAGCCTCGTCTGCGGAGACATCCTGGAAGTCAGTGGCCGCATATGTGGCCTAGCCTGCCTTGCCTCTTGCATATCCTGAAAAGCCCACCCAGCAGGAGAAGGAAGGAGAGCTGCCTCTAGCTGCCCAGCAAGATTTCTGCTGTTTGAATTCAGTTGGGAAATTCCTGCTGAGACCCACTGCCTCAGAGTCGCCACAGTCACTGTCACCAGTGACAGCAATGTGTGGGAAGTACACAGACACTCACGTGGCACATAAAATAGGTTACATAGCCCAGTCTCTGAACGGTGCTCACACTAGTCAACTCAGGAGTGGGTCAGTTAACAGCCAAGGCTCACAGTGACTGGGTGTCCATGACTCAGTCACCCTAAAGATGTCACGTATGGATTCTTCTTCACGGTCCAAAACGACAAGTAAGTCACCTTTGAAATATACCCATTAAAGAAAAGATCCCAACATGGTGACTTTTCTGGGCCATTTATATTCAGCTTTCTAAAAATCTTGCCATCCGGACACAAAAGCACATTCTAAGGTACTGGCCCGTGTGAGTCTGCACAAGTTTGGTCTTTAACTGAGTTCAGTGAGTCTACACCATGACTCAGTCCTCTCTTGGAAACATGAAAGAGTTGCTCAAATATTCCCTGGCCTTCAGGCAGTGTAATGAAGGGAAAGTGTACATGCCTCAGCCTCATGCAAGATCAAGATTACTATCCAACCAGCCATCGAGGAATGGCATGGTGCAGGTCCAGGATGAGGCTGTGGCTGGAGGGAGTCAGGTCCACTGTGTCTACAGGAAACTGGTCTGGGCATTTGGCCACCATCCAGCTGGTCACTGGGCCAGGCTATGCAAGGTGGTGTCCTTCATCCCCATGCTCACTTATGCACAAATAAGCAAGAGAAAGTCTGCTCCACAGACATTAGTGTGGAAGGGAAAAGTCTACCATACTGGCAGGGGGCAGGGGCGGGGCTTCTGCATGGAGACACCACGGGTGACCCACTGCAGATGGGGGCTTCTCCTGCAGGAAGGGGTCACATGTGGCCTACTGCAAAGAGGAAACCTATTCCCAGTCCCCGCTCCAGACAGAACGGACCTAGGATTGTCACTGCTCTTTCTAAATGACTGTGGTGGTTTGACTAAAAATAGCTCCCATATGTTTGAATGCTTGGCCCATAGGGAGTGGCACTACTAGGAGGTACGGCCTTGTTAGAGGAAGTGTGTCACTGTGAGGGTGAGCTTTGAGGTCTCATATGCTCAAGCTACACCCAGTGTGGCACACAATCTCCTTCTGCTGCCTGTGGATCAAGATTTAGAACTCTCAGTTCCTTCTCCATCACTATGTCTACCTGCACACTGCCATGCTTCCCACCATGATGATAATGGACTGAATCTCTGAACTGTAAGCCACCCCATTGAAAGTTTTCCTTTATAAGAGTTACCATGCTGTATCTTCACAGTGATAGAAACCCTAACTAAGACAAGGACTGAACTCCAGAAGCCCCACCATTCCTTAGTCCTGAGCCTCAGTTGGTGAGCTTGTTTCACGGGACTGGTGCTCTTGGTGGCCTTGCCTCAATGGGGGCTTATGAAAGGGGGGTGAGGAAGCAGGAGGTGGAGAAGGAGCTGATTCAATTCAGAGAATGCTCTTAGCAATATAAGAGTGTGATAGGCTGAGCTAGTTCCTAGGACCTTACGTGGCAAATGACCTTGGCAGATGTGATTAACTTAAGGATCTTGAGCTGGGAGGCCACTGCAGGTTTTCTGGATGGCCCACTGGCATCACAAGAGGAGGAGGGGTCTAAATCAGAGAAGACAGGAGGATATGCCAGATGAAGGGCCAGAGTAATGAGGCTACTGTCCTAATGAGGACCAAGAGCTGAGAATACAGTGTCCTGGTTGGCAGCCCATGCTGAGAACCAGTCTGATAGAGGGTCATCCCCAGTTGCTTTCAGGTCCTCAAGGGTCCTGAATGCCCACATCTGACTGGATGTTTAATATCCTGTAGCTGCAGAAGTGCCTCCTTCTCATTTGATTCTGAATGGTTCTAGATGGCTATGACCTGGAATCATCCATGGAGTTAGTGACCCCTTAGTGCCCAGATGTACTCCACGTGAACTAAACCAGGCCAAGATAAGAGACCTGGTGATGGGCTGTGAGCACAGTGGTTTCAAGCTCCCTCAGCAGCCCAGCATGCAGACAAGGGAGGAGAAATGTCTCCACTAGCTAATAGGAGGGTGTTCATCATGAGGCCAACTGCTGGGACAGCTGACTGAGCACACTGCATCCAGACATGGGTCTGTCTCCTTTAGTCTCAACTAGCCCTTTGCATGGTGACTAATGACACGTTTTCAATAGAGGCCATCCACTTTCATGACAGAGTAGACATTATACAAGAAACCTCTCTGAGAAAGTCTGGTCCACCGTCATGCATGTTAATGAGCACCATGATTGAAACCAGGAAAATACTGGATCAGAAGAGCAGTCAGCAAGTATAACCAACCCAGATGCCAACTTATTCTGTGTGTGTGCATGTGTGCACACTTGTGTGTAAGTGTATCCATGTGTGACTTTGTGTGCACACGTGTACATGTGCATGTGGAGGTCAGAGCACAACCTTGAGTCTACCTTGGTTTTTGAGACATGGTCTCTCACTGACCAGGAGCTAGCCAATAAGCTAGGCTGGCTGGCCAGTGAGCCATCTCCCTAGTGGGGATCACAGGTACATGTCACATTTCCATGTAGGTGCTGGGGAGTTGAACTTGGGTCCCCAGGCTTGTATGACAAGCACTATTATGACTGAGCCAGCTCTCCAGGTCTTCGAAAAATGTTTTTTTTTTTAATTTTGTAAATTGTCTGTGTGTGCATGTGCACATGTGTGTATACACATGTGGAAGCCAGAAGACCTTCTTCCACCTTAACATGAGTTCCAGGAACTAAACTCAGTGTGGCAGTCTTGTGCATTCAGTTCATTTACCCCCTGAGCCCTCTTACAGATCTGTGTTTAAAAATATCATTTAAAAGCCACAGCCGAGACTGCCTGCATCTGCACGGTCTCTGAAGCATTGACACAACACAGGTGATGCTGGGTGTTCCTACTGGAAGGGCACAGCCCACTGAACCAAGCACACTGGCTCTCTGGTGCTTCCTAGGAAGCTCTCCTGGTGAAATAAGGGGAGGCTCACCCACAGGAAGACTGCCCTTCCGTTAGGTGGTGGCTACTTTCTCCTCTATTTTCCTAGCATTGCAGCTTTTCTGTGGTGAGTTCAGTCTGCAAGGACAGACGAAAGTGGCAGCAGTGACCCGGCCCCTGGATGCATACCTTGTTTCCGATGGCCTTTTTGGGAGGGAAGTTGTAGGCCCTTACTTGCGGGAACGCGCTCTGCAGCTGGTGATGCAATGCCCGGAACTCAGTGTACCGCCGATACACGTTCCATTCGTCATCCTTTATCCGGATGTAGACCTGCCAAAGAGGGAGAAAGGACGACAGGCTGAACCCAAGCTCCTATGTCATCCTCACAAGGGCAGGTGCTGAATCACTCTGTCCACACAGGGGCCACATCTGCCTCATACCACTGAGCACCAAGCACAAAATGGACGGCACTGATGGCACCAATGGGCACAGGAAATAGTCTGTGGGGCAAGTGACAGGAGAGCCCAGCTACATAGTATGTCCCCACCAGTTGAGTGACAGCACGGATGCATTTCCCTGTTCACATCTGCAGCTTACAAGCTGGCCCATGGACACCAATTCTGCAAGACCCACAGGACTGAAGTCACACTGACCACCACATAGTAGGCCAGCACACAGTAGAGGAGCTGATCTGGGACAAAGGGGAGTGAGGTCAAGATGTTCTAGACTGCTGAGGGGCCCAGTGGAACTTAAGCACATGCAGGGACATAACTTAATCTCAGCCAAGTTGGGACACTGCCCAGAAAACGCTCAAGATGCTGATGTGGTTTATGGGCTCGGCACCTGCCAGGACACAGCATAGCTATCTGGTAAGGAAACCTAAAAAATGGGGGCTCTTTTTTTTGTTTGAGAAAGGTTTCCCCATGCACACCTGGTTGGCCTAGAACTCGCTATGTAGACCAGGCCAACCTCAAACTCACAAAGATCCTACTTCTCTATCTGCTGAGTGCTAGTATTAAAGGTGTGTACCACTGCTCCCAGATGATGTGTTTTAAAACATCACTCGACCTAAGAATCATAAAGAGGGTAAAATCTCTGCATAGTGACTACTGTACTTCTACTGTACTTCATATAAAGCAAGGATCCCTCCATCTTCAAGACCTCTTTACATACGAATGGCAACAAACATCTCTGTTGTGAGTCAGCCTGACTGCATTCTTTGTAACATATATTTAGAAGCCAATTCTCTTTTTACTCAGTGGAAGCAAGAGTATGCTTACTATTCCCTCTGCTCTTCCTGAGCCTTCCACAAGGATGTTTGGCTTCTGTCCCTCCCTCCCCTACAGGCAGCCACACCCAGTTCTACAGGCCCTGTGTTTCTGCCCAGGACTCTCTAATCTGCCTGTAGTGCAGACCTCAGATATGAGCTGCAGCCACGGTGTGCATGCTCACATTCTTTAAATCTGAAGCCAGGCTCAGGTTCTAAGCAGTAAGCCTGGCCCTCCTCCTAGGCTTTTATTGATTCATCTTCAAGAGCAAAGACAACAGCAAAACATGATGCCTTTGTCTCTTGTTGCCTGCAAGCGGCCAGGCCAAGTCGGGAGCAGTCTCCAGGAGCAGAGGGCTGGAAGGCTGAGAGGTGCAGGGCTGAGTAGGCTCTGGGGCTCCTGTTGCACCCACACTCCTGCCCTTTGCTGGTGCCCAGAGTGCATTTCGGGCAGCCACTGTTGCTATACCTGGAGACCACTGATAGCCAGGGGAACAGGAAGAGTGCCAAGGCTCCACGGATCACCATGATAGGCTCACCTCAGCACCTCACAGATGTGGATACAGCTCTCAGCTCTGTTTTCCACTATCTAAGGAAATGAGCCCTTGAACTCAGTGAGTGGGAGGCCTAAGGCTAAACAGAAATGACAAACCAAACACAAGACCTTCAGCACTCAGCACCTATCATGAGCTGAGCTTTACACCAGACACACACTTCTCCTCTTGTCCTCAGGCTAAGCTGCCAGGCAGGTGGTGGGAACATACCCTCTCGAGATGAAGACATGGACTCAGAGAGGCAATGTCACTTGCCCAGGAAAATGGGGAAATGAAGAATTTGCGTCCAGAGCTGTCTTCGCCCCAGTGTCCCATGTTTTCTACCCCAGTGCTCCACTGAAATGAAGTCACAGGGGACTCTGGGAGCCCAGACCAGGAGTGTGGCACTTAACATGACCTCCAAATGCTCTCCTTGCCAGAAAAGCCCCTGATTTCACCTTCTCACTTATACTTCTCCCCTCAGATCTAATATGATAGAATCAAAATCCTCCAGATTACTAACAACCAGTCCCCAACAACCTGCTTGGCATCCAAATCTGGGAAACCTGAGGTGCAGATGATTTGCTCATGAATTCTACACCACTAGACTAAGTGTGCGTATGCTGAAAACTGTTAGGGTCCTTCCTTCCTTCCTTCCTTCCTTCCTTCCTTCCTTCCTTCCTTCATGGTTGTAGAATATTATTTTAAGGTGTGTTACATTTGTTTATGTTTCATTTGTTTAACTCTGTGAAGCTGTGTTACTTTGCCTGTCTAAAACACCTGATGGTCTAATAAAGAACTGAATGGCCAATAGCAAGGCAGGAGAAAGAATTGGTGGGGCTGGCAGGCAGAGAGAATATATAGAGGGAGAAATCTGGGAGGAGAGATCTAGGAGCCAGAGAAAGAGGAGGACATCAGGGGCTAGTCACCCAGCTACACAGCAAGCCATGGAGTAAGAGGGAAAGGCATACAGGAGAAGAAAAGGAAAAATCCCAGAGGCAAAAGGCAGCTGGGATTATTTAAGTTAAGGAAAGCTGGCAAGCAACAAGTCAAGCTAAGGCTGGATGTTTATAATTAAGAATAAGCTTCCATGTCTGATTTATTTAGGAGCTGGGTGGTGGGCCCTCCAAAGGAGCAAAACAAACAACTACAACTTATTCACTTATTTTAAAGGGATCCTCTGCCCAAATTAGTCTGACTAGCCCACTTTTCTCAGCTTGAGCCATGAAAACAATTAACTCCTTGGAAGGAATGCAAAGCCAATCTCTTCCACACAACCAAGCTCCCTTTTAAATAAGGGATAAAGTCACCCATCTCCTGACCCAGCAGAAGGAAATAAAATTGGTGGGTGCTGCTATGGTCACCACTAGGGCTCACTATTTTCTGCCTGAAGGAAAAGTGCTGTTGTGGAATAATCTTTTTGTACACTGTAAAGATGTGTCACTCTGGTTGGTTTAATAAAGAACTGAACGGCCAATAGCTAGCAGGATTACCAGGCACAAAGGATGCTGGGAAGAAGAAGGATGGAGTCAAGAACACAGAGGAAGCAGGATGTACAGAAGAAGAGATAATAGCTACAAGCCTTGTGGCAGGATGTAGATAAATAGAAATGGGTTAATTTAAGGATATAAGAGCTAGTTAGAAACAAGCCTAAGTTATCGATAGAGCTTTCACAATTAATAAGAAGTCTCTGTGTCATGATTTGGGAGCTGGATGGCGGGGCAGAAAAAGACTTGTTACAAATGGCATCCAACAAGGGGGCACGTATTTCCACATAAGACATAAAAAAGATTAACAAAATGTTCCAAACACACAAAAATGGAGTCAAATGCAGCTTCATGGTCCTGCAGTTTCTCATGCAGGCCTCAGTACAGAGATATGTATCCAGGTCACAGCCTACGGGCATAACCCACCAATGCAACATGAGCTAAGCTGTGCAGTGGTTTAAGATTTTGCTCAGGCAGACAGAAAACTTGCACAAAAACTCACCGTGCACAAAACTTAAATCCAAGTGGATCAAAGACCTCAACATAAATCCAGTTACTCTGAACCTGATAGAAGAGAAAGTAGGAAGTAGTCTTGAACACATTGGCACTGGAGATCACTTCCTAAATATAACACCAGTAGCACAGACACTGAGAGAAACAATTAATAAATGGGACCTCTTGAAACTGAGAAGCTTTTGTAGGGCAAAGGACACAGCCAATAAGACAAAAAAGACAGCCTACAGAATGGGAAAAGATCTTCACCAACCCCACATCTGACAGAGGGCTGATATCCAGAACATATAAAGAACTCAAGAAATTAGACATCAAAATACCCAACAGTCCAATTTAAAAAAAAAATGGGCTATAGAGCTAAACAGAGAATTCTCAACAGAAGAAGCTCAAATGGCTGAAAGACATTTAAGGAATTGCTCAACATCCTTAGTCATCAGGGAAATGCAAATCAAAACAACTCTGAGATACCATCTTACACCCGTCAGAATGGCTAAGATCAAAAACACTGAAGACAGCTTATGTCAGAGAGGATGTAGAGCAAGGGGAACATTCCTACACAGTTAGTGGGAATGCAAACTTGTATAACCACTTTGGAAATCAATATGGCACTTTCTTAGAAAATTGGTAATCAACCTCCCTCAAGACCCAGCTATACGACTCTTGGGCATATACCCAGGGAATGCTCAATCATACCACAAGGACACATGCTCAACTATGTTCATAGCAGCATTATTGTAATAGCCAGAACCTGGAAAAAACCTAGATGCCTGTCAACTGAAGAATGGATAAATAAAATGTGGTACATATACACAATGGAGTACTACTCAGCAGAGAAAACCAATGATATCATGAGGTTTGCAGGCAAATGGATGGAACTAGAAAAATATCATCGTGAGTGAGGTAACCCAGACTCAGAAAGACAAACATGGTATGTACTCACTCATAGGTGGATACTAGATGTAAAGCAAAGGATAACCAGACTGCAACTCACAACTCCAGGGAGGCTACCTAGTAAAGAGGACCCTAAGAAAGACACAGGGATTGCCCAGCGACAGAGAAATGGAGGAGATCTACATGAGCAAACCAGGGGTGGGGGTAATGGAGGGCAAGGGTCGGGGGAAAGAGAGCTTAGGGGAGCAGGAGATTCCAGCTGGATCAGGAACAAAGTGGGAAAACAAGGAAAGAGATACCATGATAAACGAAGACCCCATGGGAATAGGAAGAAGCAGAGTGCTAGAGAGGTCCCCAGAAATCCACAAAGATACCTCCACTCTAGACTAGTGGCAATGGTCGAGAGAGTGCCTGAGCTGACCTACTCTGGTGATTAGATGGCTGAACACCCCAACTGTCATGATAGAACTCTCATCCAGTGACTGGTGGAAGCAGATGCAGAGATCCACAACCAAGCCCCAGGTGGAGCTCCAGGAGTCCAATCGGCGAGAGGGAGGAGGGATTATATGAGCAAGAGATATCGAAACCATGATTGGAAAAAGCACAGGGACAAATCACCAAGCTAGCAGAAACACATGA